GGCCTTATTAGAAGAAATGTCCATCCTGACATGTGACATCCACAGGTAATGATCATTATGGGACACAGAAGAAGCTCAGTAGCAGTAAAAAGGGAATCAGAGTTAGGACACTGAGATTTCCCTTAGCCAATAAGCAAAACTTGGTGACAGTTGCCAGAACAATCTGTGGCTATATGTGTTGTTATCTGTAGAAAAGTGTGCATGTGTTCATCTGTCTATTGACCATTTGTACACACTTCATTCCAAATCTTGAATGTAACATTTTTTGGTAATTAATTCTTTTTGTTGTCCTGAATAGCAGTACTAGCTTCTAACACTTGATCTCAGAACTCCTATCTAATGCTTGCTGTCAAGATCAATAGTTAGGATGGGGTGCCTGTTTTAACCACTTCGGCATCAGCGTCGATTACAGTCGACAGCCACAGATGAATGCGCACATCAACTTTAGCCGACAGCCATGATATGACTTTTCTAATTTTTCATTTATCAAAATAAAACTGTGAACATTTAAAAATAATGTAATGAAAACATATATGTCTATGTTCCCTATTCTGATTGACATGACAAGTAAAGCTGCCTGGAAAGTAAACAAGCCTTCAGTGCTTGAAAGCTTTCCTCATCGCACCAGAGCAGAACGGGTTCACCATCGACGCACAGCACACGCCGCCGTGCAGACTGCTAGTGTCGGCTGTGGCCAAGGCTTCGTGGCCATGAGCGCCGCACCCAAGTGGTTAAATGCTATACCTGCCTCACTTTCACATACATTATTACATTTTTCATACTACATTCATTTGAGTAACACCTTTGGAATTTGGGGCTACAAAACTCAGACATCTCTAATTTCCTCATCTGCAAAAATTGGAATAATGGTAGTTAGCATCTTTTGGAACTGCGATCCTTTGTCACTTTGCATGTGGACTAGCGCACAAGCAGCCTCTAAACCTCCCCCACCTCCACCAACTCAGTCTCTTACTGCTGCTACATCATATATTTGGAGAGGAGCAAAGGGACGGACTCGATCTTAGAGAAGTAGACCCTGCAGGGTACGGCAACTGAATGTGGCAGACAGTGGAAGTGGGAAGGCTGTGCTGGCTCCTGGATTTCAGGGTTGGGCACCTGTAAGGATGGAAAGCAGGAGGTGTTGGCGATCAATTCGTCTGTCTTACCTAAGACCTTGCACCATAATTCATTGATAATTCAACCACACTTGAGTTACCTCCTGAAAAAGAGGGACTATGAGTTTCATTTGCATATCCAGAGGGCCTTGCAGGTTGCCTGATATGTGGTGGGCTCAAAATACTTCTTTAATTTTTCAGATTTTTTGAAAACACATACAGTGCTTACTATGCCCCAGACACTATTCTAAGAGCTTTAAAAATATTATTTCTCATACTCTTAGTAACAATCCTACAGGATAAATATTAATATCCCCCCTTTACAAATTAGGGAACTGAGGCACAGAAAGGTTGTCACTTGTCTGACATGACACAGCAGTGCAGCTGAGCTAGGGTTCAAGTGCAAGAACGCTGGCTTCAGATGCTGCTCTCAACTGCTGTGCTACACTGAATGAACATGAATCTCCTGAAGCCTGCTAAGTTAATGCCTCCAAAGTGACTTCTGGCTCCTTTTAATTCATTAATAGCTTTCAAACTCAGCTCAGGTGTCCTCTAACATTCCGGCTCCTCCCTGAGCCCAAGGCTGGGTCACACCCCTCCTGCGCTGTCTCCAGTGTCCCTCCTTTCCTGCATCGTGGGGCAGACCTGCGCTCCCGCACCCGCCCTGCGTGTCTCTGTCCCTCGCCGTCTGAGCAGCAGACTCTCTAGCACGCGTCTGTGGTCAGAGCACCTAGCCTTCACTAACTGTGGCTAAAATCAGAAACAAATGAGCCAACAAGGCGGCACCCACGTGGCAGGGTGCCAGGCAGACGCGCGGGAGCGGGGGCGTGCTGGGGTGGGGAAAGGAAGCACAGGTGGGCGAGGCGGCCTCGGCCGTCTCTAATCTCCCCGAGACTTCCCGCCAGGGGAGGCCCCCAACATCTGTTTCTCATCTTACCGTCCATTTATGATTGTCTTCCTCTTCCTCCCTCTGACTCTTGGGGTTGGCTGCAGCCTGAAAGCCCGTGTGGAAGTGACGTGCTCGGTAAATCACCGGAAGGCTCCAGGGCTTTAGGCTCATTTCTCACTGGAAAGGGCCAGACCCAGCTAGGCTGGCGAGGGCTGGGGCAAACGCCTCGCCGCGAACCGCCCTGCGCCTTGTTTCTGCTCTGTGGGGAGCGAGGGTGTGCGTGTGTATGGGTGTCCGTGTGTCTGTGTGTGTATGAGTGTGCGTGTGTGTGTGTGTCTGTGTGTGTGTGTGTCTGTGTGTGTGTCTGTGTGTGTATGGGTGTGTGTATGTGTGTGTCTCTGTGTGTGTATGGGTGTGTGTGTATGTGTGTATCTCTGTGTGTGTGTGTCTCTGTGTGTGTATGGGTGTGTGTGTGTCTCTGTGTGTGTATGGGTGTGTGTGTATGTGTGTGTGTCTCTGTGTGTGTGTGTCTCTGTGTGTGTATGGGTGTGTATGTGTGTGTCTGTGTATGTATGGGTGTGTGTATGTGTGTGTGTGTCTGTGTGTATATGGGGGTGTGTGTGTCTCTGTGTGTGTATGTGTGTGTGTATGGGTGTGTGCCTGTGTATGTGTGTCTGTGTGTATATGGGTGTGAGTGTATGTGGCTGTGTATGTGTGTGTGTCTCTGTGTCTGTGTGTATGGGTGTGCGTGTCTATGTATGTATGGGTGTGTCTATGTATGTGTGTGTGTGTATGGGTGTGCGTCTATGTGTGTATGGGTGTGTGTGTCTATGTATATATGGGTGTGTCTATGTATGTATGGGTGTGTCTGTGTGTATGGGTGTGTGTCTACGTGTGTATGAATGTGTGTTGTGTGTGTCTATGTGTGTGCATGGGCATAAGTATTGTGTGTGTGCGCATGTTGTGTGTGAGCATATGTGTGTTTATGGGGTGTGTGTCAGTGTGTGTGCATGTTCTATGTGTCTATGTGTGTGTATGGGCATGTGTGTTATGTGTGTGCATCTCTGTGTGTGTCTATCTGTGTATGGGTGTGTGGGGGTGTGTATCTATGTGTGTGTATGTGTGTGTGGGGTGTGTCTGTGTGTGTGCATGTTGTGCGTGTGTCTATGTGTGTGTGTCTATGTGTGTGTGTCTATGTGTGTGTGTGTATGTGTGCGTGCACACGCACATGTGCTCAGGTGTTGGCACAGACCCTTCCTTGCGGTTCTCGGTAGGAGTCAGGGAGCCATGGTCTCTGAGTGGCCGGGCCTGTGCGACCCCCGCACGCTCCTGCCTCAGCCCGCTAGCGAAGGCTGTTGCCCTCTAAGAGACGGGGTCTGGGGAGGCCAGGTCCGCCCCAAGGCTCTGGCTCCGAGCTTGCCGCCCCCAGACTTCACAGCTGAGTGAGCAGGGGCAGGGGAGCACGCCCAAAGCACCTGGCCACGGTGTCCAGATTGGAGCTGAGCCAGGCACAGGAGGCTGAGACCATACAAATTAAATAATAGGAAATGCCATCTCTAGATGGCTTCTGTGGCATTGGTGGTAAACTTCACTTCTTTGCAATAATGTTGCCTTTTAAGTTTAAGTTGCTTTTCACTTAATTAAGCTACTTTCTGTTGGGCATCTGGTGAGAGCCAGGTCAGAGCATTTGGTTCCACAGGCTGAGAACATTCCAGATGGACCTGTTCTGATGCTCAAGCTCTAGTTTGAACTCCTTGTAGACACTGTAATTCTGTGAAGATCACTTAGCCTCTGGGGCTTGTTTCATCAGTCTTTTATAGACTTTATCAGTCTTCAAGGGAGGCTGTATTAGGAATAGGTAGATTTTGCTTTGAGACTGTCTGGGGACGGTGTTAATAATAACACTGCATTGTCCTTGGGAGAGGTTCTTACTGAAATTTCAGGCCTTGGTGGTTCTTTCTGGAGGCCTTGGAATCACCTAGGGTGGGTCATTGTGGTGTAGTGCTTGGCTGTGGGTATTATCTGAGGTTTCTTCTGCTTCTTAGCCCATCAAAGTCTAAGAGTGACAGCAGAACCAATTCTCAGCCTAGGGTTCTTTCTATTAGTGAACTGGCCCAATTTAGCAAAGCAAATGTGATACTCACATAGTATAAAAAAGAATTTCTGTGCTACATCCCACTGAACACCTGGGGAAATGTAGTTTCCATAAAATGGTGAGGGTTTATGAAAAGAAAAGTGAGATGATTTGAAATTGAGACCCTTCTTGACAAACGAGCACTGGCGATTCCCATTATACAAGTGTGCTTCCTATTTGTTCTTCAGCACTTCAAGAAAGAACCTCCTCTTTCTACATTTGCTCCAACACTTTAACCCTAAGAATGAGTGCTTCAAGGCCACAACTGTGGGGGGAGTGGTAATCTCCTGGTGGATTTCATACTAAGAGGTAAATATCAGAGGCAGAGGGGAAGTAGGAGACAGCTTGCCTGTCTGGACTGAAGGGAAGACATAGCCCCTACCTCTACTATAGACAAACGTGAAAAGTTTCATTTAAAAGGGCCTTGATTCTAATTATAAGAACGCCTGGGAATCTCCCCATACCTTTGTTTGGCTCAATCTTTGTCACTGGAACAATTCACCATACCTGGCTCTAACTTTCCTTAGAATGAGTCTATGACAGAGACTCCACAGAGCTATAGACTTTTTGTGGATGGTATCAACCATAAATTTGAAAGAAATGCACAAACATGTTGAATCAAGCAGTATTATCTCGTAAACTGAATAGTAACAGTAACAGCAATAACATCATCTAACATTTGCAGAGTCCTTGCTATGTGCCAGGACTGCTGGTCACTCTGCATGGTTATATCATTTAATTGTCACAACAATGCTTAAAGGAACATACTTTTATTGCTCCCATTTTGTATATGAGAAAACTGAGGCAAGGAGGGCAGAGGAGCAGTTGCCCAAATTCACACAGCTAAGTGCTAAGCTTATTCCTACCCAAGCTGGTTGGTCGCCTGCAAGAGTCTAACACTTACGCTCTGCGCTTACTGCCTCTCTGGAAACCGAGAGAACTGAGATGTAAGTCAACATTTAGCCCACAGCGTTCTTGGAGCGTCCCTTGAAATATCCTTGCTATTGAACTAGTGAATATGACTGATGCTTGGAGTTCCAAACAGGCAGTTCTCCAGGAGTCGGATGCTTTGCACCTTTCTTCTTCCATCTTCCCAGAAATAACTTCCGGCAAGATCTGCAGTTCTGATCCTCATGTTAATTCCATTTCGGTGGCTAGATGTGGCGGGGACAGGAAAGGGTGAACCCGGCTGTATTACCTACTGCAAATGGATGAAGGAGCAGTACATTCCTGGGAATGCTAGCATATGGCTTTCCGTGGTGAATCTAGAGCACAGTGAGGGGAGGCCAATGATCGCGCACCTCCAGCTCGCCCTCCCGCTTAGCAGTAGTGACGGAGAGACTGGGAAGGCCCAGTGCGACAGAACAAAACCGCTCTGGGCCAACCAAGGGAATGGTCTGGGATCAAACAGCTTAGCCAGGGGACTTGGATAATTCCACAATACCCTGAGAGCCCAGTGGGCATCTCACAGGCAGCCACTGCATGCAGGGACCTGCCATTCTCATTCTTACTCGCGCTATTCTTATTGACAAATTCCTCGCTTTGGAAAATGGTGGGCGGGTAGGCTCCCGACCCTCCTTCTGTGGCTGTGACCTTTAGGCAAGCTCTGCTGCAGGTCCCAGAGCTCACGGTGGGCTCTGGGAGGGAGTGTGATGTGCCTGCCTTCTCCCATCCTTATAGCAAAGGCAGGCAGGGAAGGGAGGACACAGCTTGGTGGGGCGTGGGAGGTTGAGCCACCCACAGTGAGCTGGGAGACCTGTCAGCCAAGGTGTCAGCCAAGACACCACCTGTCAGGAATGCCCCTTCCCAGAGCTGGAGGGACTGCACTTCAAAGGCGACTGGAGCATCCTCCCACTGCTGCCTGTGCAGGGCTGGAAGCCCCAGGTCACCTCACTCTCCAGGAGGAGGGGTAGCATACTTTCCTCCTGGAATGAAACACAGTGTGACTTGAAAACAGGGCACATGGAAGGTTCAAAGAGCCTCCGTCTGGTCTTGTTGCACTTACCAAGCAAAAACCATAATGCTGCCATTTGCAGGCTAGCTGCAAGCCTCCAGTGAGGGCTCAAGTGCCAGAACATCTCATAAACTGTAAGGGACTGTGCTCCTGTAAGAGCTGACCTTTACTACCAAAGTAAGGTAGTGTGCTATTGCACCTTTATTATTAAGTAATAATAAATGTTAAGTATGTTATTACTTAATACTATAAGCAGCTGATATTTAAGAGATACTGCATTAAGTACTCTAAAGTACTCTAACAAAGCTTATGTAAGGATGTATATTACATATAAGAGGAACTACAATACATATAATGCCTATATGTGCCAGGCACTGTTGTCCACACTGGCGGTAAGCCACATCCTTGCTCTCCCAGGGCCTACTTTGTCCTAAGTGGGACGCAGGGCCTTGGCAGGCCCTGGAGCCAGGACTGGGACGCCGGTGGCCGGGCCTCTAGGGCCCAGGCCTTCAGCACGCCGTGTCTCCCAGTGAAGGCCCGTGAGCCTGGAGCATCCGGTGTGGCAGCGGGAGAGGCTGCTGTCACCGTGTGGCCAGCAGGCCAGGCCTGGCCGCTCCCCCTCTTTCGTGGGCTTCCCGGCTCTGTCCAGGGTCTGCATTCCCACCACGGCGCGTCCCAGCGGGGCCGCTGGTTGGCGCCCACAGCACTCCATGGAGGCCTGTGGTCACAGCACGACTCCCCACATCCCATCACACAGTGTGAGCCACAGGGCCAAGGCCTGAGGACAGCTCTGTTTCGCCATAACAGCTGCCTCCATGGCAACAGCGTGTGATGTCACTGGAACAGCCATCTGTGGGACTGCGGGGCAGAGGGAGGGGCAGAGCTGGGAGCTGCGGCAGACACAGGAAGAGCAGGACTCACCGTGAGCGCCAAGGTGTTACTCACACAGGTCCCTTTCTGCCGTCCCCATCTATCAGTTCCTTTTGTTTGAGCTTAGCAGATCCAGATGTTTTTTACATCGTTCAGGCATATTTGGCCCGGACATAGACTTCTCCTCATCTTTCATCCAATCTGACAAATATTCATACTCACCTCCCTCTGTGAGTCCCAGGACACCTGAGGGCTGGAGAGGGTGACAGGCAGCTTCCCTCTCCTCCAGGCCTGCCCCTCAGCCCCCCAGGCCAGCAGGATTTGCCGTCCAAAGGACCTCATAAGACATCCAAGCAGCCTTTTCTTAGAAACAGGAAACTATCTTCAGCTAAGTACAAAGGAAGTGCAGCACCCGGAAACCTGAGCACCCTCCAAACGCCGAGGCCTGGAGGCAACAGGGAGGGCTCCGCTCCTGGCAGGGCCTCAGGACACGCTGGCCAATGGGACTGACCTCAGCTTCGGCTCAGCCGTTGTGCAAGTGCTGGTAACAGTCACTGACACACTCCAAGCAGCATTTTCTTCAATCCTAAAAAAATAAGACAATATTACTTGTTTGTTATTTTTGACAATCTTACAGTCTTTGCATTGGACAGACGCTCATCACTGGCAGAACTGGAAGGATTGCTGACGTGCTGCTTGGGAAGTCGTTTGCATGGAGGAGAATGTAATAACGTGAAGATCATATTTCTTTCAAATGCAGCAGGGGTAGTCACGGGGAGCACTGTGCCCAGGTGGGCACTTGGCATGTCTTATTTCCAGAGCTGCTTCAGAAGTCTGTAAACCATCTTTCAGGGGATAAATATCTCTATGCAACTTGAGGGTTGGGACCACATCTCCCATTCACTGTGGCATCCTCAGCACCTAGTGTGATGCCTGGAATTCATTCTGTACCTGCTCAATAGACAGGCATCAGGTGGACAAATGAATAAATTAATGAATAAACCAGTGAAATTAGTTCTTGATTCCTAAGATCATAACAAGCCAGCATTGCAATGGGGTGCTACTTCCCAGAGACTGGCTGGAGGGATGGCTGAGGGAAAGGGAGTTGGTATGTGATGGAAAATGGCTTTCTCCTGGGACATTAGGAGAAGGAATGTTGGAGTTGAAATCAGAAGAGCCAGTATTAAATCCTGGCTTTGTGACTGAGTAGCTGTGTGACCTCAGACAAATTGTTAAACCTCTCAGAGCCTCAATTTCTTTCTCTCTCAAGCAAGACTTTCAATGCCTACAGATAGTACAATGAAGTTGGGAGTAACTGGGACGAGGATGGAAGAGAGCAGAACAGAGTGTCTAGCACTCGGTGCCTCTGCACACTTTTGATAAGCTGGGCCCTAGGCTCCTTCTTGTTTAAATGCATGGAGTCCTTTATTGTCCCACTGAGCTTCCACCTATATTCCCAAACAAGCAGCACCCTGCTCTCCTCCTGGTGTTCTTGCCTAGAGGCCACCAGCCAGGAAGGTGTTTCTGTCCCAGCTACGCCACTTCTCTTGGACAGATGGCTACCCTGCGTGCCCAGCCTTCTCTCTCCGCTTACTGAAGATGTCAAGGCCGTAGGCCTGAGGAAGCCTGTCTTAAAACTTGAGATGCATCCTCTTATGTTTTGACGCTGTATCAAGTACTGATGGAATTTTTTGTGTGCTTTTACCTAAAATTAGGCCTGGGGGTGAGCACGAATTGTTACCCTGTGCCCACCCCTCCCTCATGGGCAACAAGTCACGCTGAGGGCAGAGCCACACCTCGGCCCTTGCCCTGCCCCGGGCTCTGCTCTTCTCTGCCCATTCCTGCCACCACTCCCTGCAGGGTGCCTCTGTGACAGCTCCTCTGGAGGCAGCCCTGCCCCCTCCTGTGGCACCTGGGCTTTCCCATGATTCGACTGCCAGCTGAGGGAGTGGTTTCTGTGGTAAGGTCCACCTCGGCTCATTTTCCATTAGGGTCACTAGGCAACCACCAGAAAGCGACAACTACTGATGCAAAAGTGACAAGCTCTGTACCCCATCACTAATCCTGGGCTGGCTCCAGGGCTGGCTGTGGCAAAGGCGTCTTGCTCGACAGGGCAGGCTGGGGATTCCAGCCATGCCCTTGGCAGTGCTGTGCGGCTGAGACCTGGGGCCAGGCGGCAGATCGTGCTGGGTGGGTCCAGCAGAAGCAGCGAGGTGTAAAGTCAGACACTGATCCTGAATACAGCATTCACCTTTGTCCCATACCAACTGGAACATCTTTCTATTAGGATGTCACCCAGGAAATAAACTGCTATGTTACTTAAAAATTTAATACCAACTTCTTGTTTTTATATGGTGAATTCAAAGCAGATTTATTTCCATGTTTGAAATTTATCCTCCAAGCAGCTGTTTGAAGTAGGTATGGTAAATGGCATTGTCTCTCATTTTAGAGATGGGGAAATTGAGGCTCAGGGAGCAATTGTCTGGCCAGCATTATATCAGTGATTAATTGATGGAAACCAATCTCAGGTCTCCCTTCTATATTGAACTGTGGCATTAATCTTTCTTTCCCAAGGATTCTGCTCTCCCTTGAAATACTAGTTAATTAGTCCAGGCATTTACTTATTCATTTCAAATACCTACAGAGTCCTACTGCCTGCCAAGTAGTGGTAAAGCAGTGAATAAAACATGCAACCGCCTCACCTCATGGCACGTGAAATTTCAGGTGGAGACACGGCCAACGGGGAAGAGTGAGGCGGAGCTGGGGGCTGGGGAGACAGCGTGTGTGTGCGTATGCGCGTGCGTGTTCATGTGCGTCAGGGCTGGGGAGAGCCTCTGTTGTGCGCAAGGCAACTCAGTAGGCCTTTTAGTAAGCTGATTTTTCAGGCAAGCCTGAAAGAAGTGAGAAAGTGGCCTCTGGTTCTTCCTGGGCGTGTGCTGTGTGACACAATGGATTAGGGTTTCCATGCCAGCTCTGTACCACAGCTATGGTTACCCCAGCGACACATGAGAAACCCTGAGAGAGTAGCCTTCCAGGGATCCCACCACTGCAGGTACGTGAGAGAGGGTACAGACCGAGCTGTCTGCAAAGCTCTGCTCATAATTGCTACCAATTTCAGGCAGAGATACCTAATCGGGTGGGAGATGATTTGGGAGAGGGTCCTCCTTACCAGCATCCCTTACACAACACTTTGCGTCTGCCAGTATCGCCTAGGTGATTTCTACAAGGCACACACTGGCAGTGTCCTCTTTTTATTATTTGACTTCCTTTTCATTTTCCATTTATATTTCATATTAGGCAAAGGACCAAACAGTCCGGGGATCTCAGTCAACTCAAGTGCGTTGTAGCCAGAAAGACCAGAATCATAATAGGATTTTTTTTCCCAAATCTCCCTTATTCCAGGACTATGCTAAGTACTTTATACATAGTATCTCACTTAATTTTCATAAAAATCCTATGATGTAGATACTATGTTCATCTTCACTGTATAGATGATGAGCTTCTATGAGTAACCCAGCCGAAGTTACACAGCTAAGATGTGTCTCATCTAAGATTCAACTAATTCACCTCTTACACCATAAGCTGAGGTCCTGACCAGTTGTCGTGAGGAATAGGCCAGGGAAGTTCATGTGGCCAGAGCTGATGGAGAGATGGTATCAGGGCAAAGTCGGGGGAGTTTTTGTGTGGGGTTTGTTAGGGTCACACGTGTATCTAATATACTAAGTGGGATAGATTGGGATTGGTTCTAAGTGAAACCTTGTATCTCCAAAAGTGAAATATAGGATTATAAAAAGCAATTCATTGATTCACTGAAAAAATGGGGGGACCTCTTGACGTACTTAATGTTTGATTTTAAAATATTCACTTTTTTCTGATCACTAAAATACTCTATACTTATTGGCAAAAATGAGAACACAAAGAAAATAGAAACATTTCTAATCCTACCACTCAAAGACAATCGCTGCCACTCTGATACATTAGCGTTCGGCCTTCTTTTCTAGCCCTTCTTGAAACACGCGACCTCCTTAAAACAGCTCGTCGCCCGTCAGGCCGCAGAGCGCCGCGCCGCCACGTGGGCCCGCGCATGCGCGGAGACAGCTCCGGCGGTGCCGCCGCACAGGCCTGTGGGGAAAGGCGGCCACGGACGCGCTCTGCGGCTTCCGGAAGGCTTTCAGCCGGCCCTGGGCTCTGACGCGGCGCACCGGCGTCGCCTCTGCTGCCGAGCCATACGTATGCCGGACGGGACCGGCGCTCTCTCGCCCCCGCACACGCCAGCCTTTGCGAGCAGACGGCAGGGCCCGCGGCCGTCTGGCTTCCCGCCCTCGCCCGCCGGAGCTGGAGCCGGGACTGAGCAGCAGGCAGGCCTGAGAGGACGGACGGCAAGCCGCGAAGAAACCGAGCGTTTCTGGCCCCCCGCTTGGGCTGTGGCTTGGTCGCAACCACGCGAGCACAGTCAGAGCTACGGAGCCGAGTGGCCTTAGGGTAGGGCTGGTTCGGGAGGCTCGCGGGATGAGGGCTCTTGCTGCAGGAGATGGCGGCCGTTCCAGACAGCACCCTCGTAACTGTAACAGCGGCAGTTAGCGTTTTTTGAGTGCCCGGCCGGATGTGCAATGTTGCGTGACCATTAATTACCTCATTAGTCCTGACAACACCTGCTAAGGAGGCAGAATGGCTCTCTCCACACCGGAAACGGAGACACCCAGGTACACAGGGGTGAATAGTGTGCTCAAGGTCACCCAGCTAGCAGGTGCCAGAGCTGCGATCTGAAACAAGGCAGTCCTACGTACACCCTAGACCTCTCACTTGGGATTTCATTTCATTCATTCATTCACTCCCTCACTCCTTCCTTCATTCACTAAGTACACTCATTCAAGCTACTGTTATCTTTCACCTGGATAACTGGTGATAACTTCCTAAGGCTTACCTTTCTCCCACGCAGAGCATTGCAACCTTGGGTGCACAGTGGTACCACCTGAGGACCTTTCAGTAGTTCTGACCATCTCCCTCTCCTGCTTAAAACATTTGAGATAAAGGCTCAAATTCTTAACGGCCTACACTACAAGATCCCCTTCCTCCTCCCAGCCTCGTTTTGTATCAGTCAGCCCTCAGTCTCAGAGTGCTGCCGTCCTGACTCTCTGGAATGCTGTTCCCGCCTCACGGCCTTTGCGGACTGACCACAGTTCTCATCCCATTTGTCTGGTGGACGCCTACTCGTTCTTTAGGTCTTAACGTAGTGCTGCTGATTACAAAAGTGGCCACCCTCTTCTTGTCTGCAATCCTTGCATGTGACTTTGCAGCTCTTCCCACAGAGGGGCGAAGTCTCTTGCTGGCCTTGTGACTTGCCTTGGGTGATAGAATGCCACAGAAGGGCGGTGGTGCCAGTTCTGAGCCTGAGCCGCAGGAGGCCTAGCAGGCTTCCACTTGCTCTCTCAGAGCCCTGGGAATAAGCTGCCTTCTGCAGGATCACAGCTGAGGCCATCCTAGACCAGCTGACTCCCAGCTGACCTGCAAGCTGACCACAAACTCATGGAGAAGCCAAGTTGAGATCATAGCCCAGAACCAGATCAGCAGAACCTCTCAATCGATCCGCAGATTTGTGAAGAATAATAAATAGGTGTTGCTTTAACCCACTAAGTTCAGGCTGCTTTGTTATACAGCAATAGGCAGCTGGTGCACTTAGGTGTAACTTTCTATTTCTTCCAGCCTAAGCTTGGTTCCCCCATTTATACTCTGCCGCAGCACCTTGTGCTTGTTAATTGTGGCATTTAGGCCAATTCTGTCAAAGCTAAATATTGAGTAATTAATGTTTTTTCTTTCCCTGATTAAAGTTTAAGCTCTGTAAGATGAGTGCCTTTATTCCATTTGCTGCCTACAATATTTCCCTCATCTGTTAATAGCATTGTGTTTTGCACACAGTAAATACTAAATCAATATTTGTTATAAAGTAAAAGCAAGAATGCATGAATGCATTTGTAAAATATATATATTTTATAGTATATATATACTAAACATTTATAAAATACCTTCTATATACTTCGTACTATGCAAGATTCTAAAGATTTAATGTAAGAATGAATAAGGCATCATCCCTCCTCCTAAGTTGTTCTCAGTTTGAAAACAGGGACATGAACATGTAAACAAAAATCATAAACCAAGTTGGCAAGTATAATTGGGATTGTATTCAGTGTTGATGGGAGTAAGATAGAGTAGTGGTTGGGTACATCTGGAGAAAAGATTTTTCTGGAAATAAATTTTGAGATGATGGTTCCACATCTGATGAATGTGTTGCAACAAACATTCAGATATCGAAAGTGTCACTTCTACTGGCAATAGGAGTTTTAAGAATGATGAATGAAGATTGTTAAATTTTTATGTGAGACAAAATGCAATCTTCCCTTGATATATGTAGCAGTTAAATTTTTGAAAAATTCGGAATTCAAATTCAAAAGTCATGTATTTAAACTGTACAAAAATTAGACCCTACGTGCTTATATGTTGATAAAATTAAGTGTTAGGCTCAGATAATTATAACTGGTTTTCACCCATATGAATGTCTAGAGGGACATTTGAAAGCGAATTGGAATGTGGGGTAATTTTCATTGCACAGGAATGTCCTACACACTGTGGGATACCTACCATCCCCAGCCATTGCAGTGACTGCCCATGGTATCCCCTGTTAATATTGTGGCAACTCAAAATTCTTCTCAAATTTCTAAAGTTCATTTTCCAAGATGGTGACACAGCTGCATTGAACTGCTGGTGTAAAAAAGAAAAAGTTACTTTGACTAATTAACATTAATGTTTTATGTAACCACATTATTTGAAGGGACATATGCTGTGTATACAAGTGTTCTAACACTTCCAAATTACTTTGGCATTGTTGCCAAAAGATGATTCAACAGGCCTTCTTGAAGGGGAAGGAAAGAACCTAAATACTCCCTTTCTATTTCTGGAAGCAAGTCACCTTAAAGTCTAAGCTACTCACAAGAAGGATGTCGCCAGGAATCCCAGCAAGCAACTTACAAACCTATTTCATGGTTCTGGCTCAACAGCAGCACAAAAACACATGAAACATATTCTGAATAGAACAGGTCCTCATTAATTTTCCTAACGGAAGCAGTTTAGTGAGAAATCCTAGTTTTACATATTTATAATTATTTAACAAATTATTTTAAAGGGTATGTAATTAATGAGCGAACATCTGAGCACCCACATTGTGTGAATCATTGTGCTACTTACTTTGAGATTACAAGAATCCTAAAAAATGTTTTAGATCCTCAAGGAACAAAAAATCTAAAGTTGGAGACAGAACATAATTATGCAAAATTAACTGACAGCACAAACTTCCTAATGGGAGGTACAAACACTAAGGTTTTAGGAGTTCAAGGGTACTGAGGGCTTTGAAAGTAGAATGGTTCAGGAAGGCTTCATAGAGGCTGGAGCTGAGCCCTAAAGAATAGATAGGACTCAAATAAGAATTTGATTCCCTGGCCATTTCTGGTGGAAGCAATGGCCCAGTAGAGTGAAGAAAGCAGCAATATAAAAGGCATCTTACAGAGACTATGAGTAGACTCACTAACAAGAAAGAAGAGTCATGCTAAGTAGGTAGCAGTTTAGAGCCAGAGAGAAGCATCTTTAATACAGGCTAAGGTAAAGTTGGTCCTTTAAGGAAAAAGGGGTCATTGAACATTTTGATCAAGAGAGTAAAAGGACCAAAGTTTATTTAGGTGTTGGGGGAAAACCTTTCTTTTCCCCGGGTTATATTTCACTATGGATAAACCTGTAGTACAGGAATACTCCTAGCCTCTCAGTCTCCTACTCAAACCTCCCCAGGGAAGGAGGAACGCCTTTTTTCTGATTGAGAATTCAGGAGATAAACTTGGGCATGCATGATGCAGCCCCTGCCTTCCTCCTTTCCTGAAATACTCCTGGAGAGCATATCCTTGCTACTCGGCACTCTTTCACAGACATTGGTCCGCGTGGAGAGGCCTGTTTCCAGACGTGCTTATGGTTGGCTGAGGGTTCTGTTTAATTGAGAATGAAGTATTTGCGTGTTTACTGGCTACAAACCTCAGCTGCATTCTCCAAAATAGATTTCATCTGTAATAAAACTGACATTCTGATCCCCACCTGTCTGACTCTTATATTTCTCTGTTAATGAATTCCAATTCGGGTAGAGATGGCTGGTGCTTATTAGCTTCTACCACATCAGAGATAAAATATCCAATTAGACAGAGGTAGAGGGAAAGCCTCAGCAATCTCAAAGCCTGTAAAAAAAATCTAGCAAAGACAGCTTATGCTTGATTTACCTTAGACTTGGAAATGAGGTTGGTAAAGCAAGAGTCAAGGTCCCAGGACAGCAAATAGAGAAATTTCAGAATGTGTTAGATTAGGTGTTGACAAACTATGGCTTAGTGGGTCAAATCAGGCCTGTTTTTATAATTAAAATTTTATTGGAACACAATCATGCCCATTCATTTACATATAATCTATGGAACCTTTAATTTTAAGATATACTCATCTGTATATTTAAAATTGAGAAATATTCATGAGTTGGCTAGTTGCAACAGCAGTCATATGACCTGCAAAGCCTCAAAATCATTTCTGAATTCTGAATGGTCATTGAGAATCAGCTACCATTTATAAAGGTTTTATTTTAGTTTGCAAAAGCATAGTTTACTAAATCGAAAGTTTGAGATAGGTTATCAAAGGTGAGGAAAGGTCTTTTATATTTCCATTAGAATACTGAACATTAAAAGACAAGTAATATGCCAAATTAATAACCATAACTAAATTTCCCCCACTGGTGTATTCTGTCTATGTAATTAATTCTTGTGCTGCCGGGTACTGGGTAATAGTCTGTGTGAACGAAACCACCTGGTTTGAAACTAAAACAATTCCTGGAAATCCCACTCAGTCCAATGGTACAGTCTGGCAATTATTTAAGCGTTGTCAACTTGAAGTTCTGAAGCCCGAGCTTACGAGTTTCCACAACTTGAAATACAGTCTTTGCATGAGGCTTTGAGATTGTCCTGTGTTGAAGACAAGAAAGGTGCAGTCTTTAGGTAAGCATCAGAGGGAAGCAGCCAGTATTTGCAGATGAACTTAAATTAACCATAGAATGTGTTGTTAATTTATTACAATCATCAGTAATATCCAAATGGAAGAACATAAATTCTCTATTGGGGGACAATATATAACTATTTCATAAGGTTTGATCAATGTTTCTCCTGAGGATGAGAACATATGAAGAGTGAAGATATTACTAAATCTCTCAGCACTTCCAATCCATAAAGTGTACAATCTCTGAACATTTATGTTAATAGAATTTTATTTACATAACATTATCCTTTATCTAACAACTCTTCCCATGTAGCTCTGGAAATATTACTGAGCTAATTAAGTACAATGCATAACAAATATACCTATTAATTTCTCCTATTTGTTTATGAGATGAAAAATCTAATCTTTGGGATTGCCCAGGGCTTTTTGGGAAATCCCCAAAATAATTTTGGTTGGAAAGAAATTTTTTTTGTTTTCACATTTGGGATATGATCTTAGGAACACAAATTTAAAAGAGTTTTCAAACTAGATTTAGCGATGTGATTAAGATAGGATCATGGGTACCTAAAAAACAATATTGTCATGGTTAAATTTATGTATCAACTTGCCTGGACCATGATGCCAAGATCTATGATCAAATATTATTGTGGGTGTCTCTGTAAGCGTGTTTTTGAATGTATAACACTTAAATCAGTGGACTTTGAGTAAAGCAGACTGCCCGCCACTATGCGGGTGGCCTCACCCAATCAGTGGAAAGTCTGGACAGAACAAAAGACGACCTCCCCTGGGCAGGAGGGATTCTGTTAGTAGAAGGCTTTCTGACTTGGATGGCAGCAGCTGCTCTCCCTGCGTCTCCAGCACGGCAGCCCATGCTGCAGACTGTGCTACCTCTCTCTATAGACACACATCCTGTCTGTTGTTTCTCTGCAGAACACGAACTAACGCAAATAGCTTACCTGCCTATTATTCAGGGTGATTATAACATGTTTAAATAAATATAGAAGGTAATACAATGACAAGAAACTTTATTTCTTTTAGAAATAGGATTTTTTTGTTCTTTAAAAAAATAATCAGGGAGGGGGGAGGGAAGAGAGTGAAGGGGGGAGGCTGCGAGGAAGGGGGTGGGCGCCTGGCAGGGGCGTCCGGAGGAAGAGAGGCCGCGCTGGCCGGGCCGTCGCGGGACGGGGCACACCTGGGCGCGGGCCACGAGCCCCGTGCATGGCCGTCCTGCCTGGCCGCAGGTGGCCGGGGCGAGGCCGCCCCGCGCCTGGACCGATCTTATAATCGATGGGAGAAGCGGGGAAAATGTGGAATAGCTTCAAACACGGTGCCAGACTCTTCAGTCGTGAGGGGGCAAGCCGTGGTGAAAGTGTGCACGAGAACAACAGGTGCTTGTCTGTCAAAGAGAGAGACGTCGGTATAGCAGGCTCAGCTCCTCTGCAGCCAAGCAGTCCCTTAGGGGAAAATGTTGCCTTACAATTAGGATTGAGGCCTTCAAAGAATTCTTCAAGGAGAAACCAAAATTGTGCCACTGAATTCCCTCCAGTTGTTGAAATAAGCATCGGAA